ATGTTAATGTGCATCTCTGAGAAGTGGTTATAAATTTGGTACTTATTAAAAATAGAACAGAGTGTTCCTAGTGTTTAAACACTAGAAATGAGAAGATCATTTAAGGGAAATGTACAGGCAAATGGGAAGCAAGAAAGTTGGAAGATAACAGAAGAGGATGGCGGGGAGGAGAGAAGGAAAGATAGTTAAATAAAACAGAAACAGAGTGATATGAGAAAAATCAAGACAAGAAGATGCTCCAAAGAAGGGGAATCATTTAAACTGATTGAGTAGACAACTGGCTGACACTTTCTCTATAAAGTGTCCACCAGATTAGGTCATAAGGGGCAGAGATGGCCAGAGACCTGACATGAGCAGCTGAATCACTATCTTTGGAATTTTGAAATGGTGTGTGGAGATATGTTATTCTGTATAGATTTGCTTTCATTCATAAAGATAAAAAATTTGAGTGAATGAAGCTTGTTGGGGGTTAGTAACCTGTGGTAGAGGATGGTTGGGACAATGGGTACATTTGTATACTATAGTTTACATAATGTGGATGGAACACACTGTAAAATATCCCGAAATGTTTGTGGATTGACTCAAGAAAAAAAATATGAAACAAAAATATTTTTTAGTTTAAACTCCCTTTCCATCACTTTGCAAGAGACAATGGAGGTATAAAGGACATGATCTTCAAAAGTTCAAATTTGGTTTCTCTCAAAAGTCATATATTTGGGTGCTGGGGATTTAGCTCAGCGGCATAAGCACCTGCCTTGAAAGCAGGCAGTCGTGAGTTCGACCCCCGGTACCGATAAAAACAAAAAAGCCAAAAAAAAAAAGTCATATATTCAATGATTTAATATTCTCACTTTCTATGTGGTATAAGCAGGGATCTTACAATATTATTGTTCCATCTTTAGAGACTAAGACCAGAGCTGCTGTGTAGAGAGCTGGGAGCTTTCCCAGGCTTTTGAGTGCCAGGTCCATGAGGTTTCCGTGCGCCACAGGAAAGTAGCTGTGACTCACGACCCTCTTGCCATATTAGCTCTCTGGACAACGGTCTGGAGAAAGGTCATTCTTTACGTTTTTCTTCTCTTTTTAGTTCCTTCTTCCTTTCATTTTTTTTTACAGGTAAACTTTCATTACTCCCATTCTTTTTGGCCTTTCCTTGTGCAGAGGCCATTCCCACAGCTGACCTCTTTCTCGTGCCTTTTCATTTGGTAAATGGTCCAGTGTTGAAGGGTAAGAGAAACACATCAAAGGTAAATGAATGACTTGTTAGACAGGAGGGAGGGAGGGACTGCATATAGGCGAGGCCACTGTGGGAGAGCTGTGCACATATGATTCCGTTTTCAACAAGAGTTGCAATATCACATTCACATACAGGCCTGAAAACACTCTTTTTCTTAATTCTTTTGAGTGATTAGAATCAGGTGACATCGCACAGTGCGATCATTATTCCAAAACTGAAACCAAAGCAGAAATGTTCACACAGTTTTCCAAGCCTCACTTAGGGCCCAGGGAGCCTGAGCCAAGCCAGATGGGCAGGGGTCCTCAACATTGCTGGCAGCATTACCGTGGGAGTTCTGGTGTGCAAGAGAGCAGGATTGTAGAGGCCCAGAGGACAGAAGAGACCACGAAGATTTCTAGAGACTGTCTCAGATGGATCATTTAAAAATATCCCTCCCAGAGCAGGACATTCTGTGCCTCCCGTCAGCACTGGTTCTCAGGCGTCTGAGCTACCCAGTGACCACACTAAGAAAGAGATGGCTTTATAAAATTTCCTCACACTAGCACTTTAATTAAAAGAAAATCCTTCTATGTTCTGCAGCGTTTAAAAGGTCCATTGTAATAAAGGTTTGCGGAAATAAAGCCTCTCTTTGTATGCCTTGCAGCGCGGGGAGAGCTGGCCACATTTCTGCAGCAGTGAAGGATACAGGAGAGAGAGGGCCTCTTGAACCCACTATGCAAATTTATGAAAACAACATGCAAATCAGTAGAGTTCTAGCAATTGAAAACAAACAAACAAATGACAGGAAAGAGAGCGATTACTATGTCTCATGGTAGATTCCCAGCTCTGCCCATAGTTATCCAGATGTGTTCATGTGTGTCTATGTGTCTCAGTGTATATGTCTCAGAGTGTGTGTATGCGTGAGTGTGTGTATGCGTGTGTGTGTGTGTGTGTGTGTGTCTGTGTATACGTGTGTTTGCAAAATGATGGGAGAAGATGTGGAGCAGCAATAAAACCTGAACACAAAAAATTTAGACTCAGTCTCTGTTTGTTTGTTTTGTTTTTCTATTTTCTGAGACCCAAAACTCCTCTCCTTGTGAGGAGTATTTAAGTAAAATAGGGTTCTGTGTACACTGAATTGCTCAGAAGGGAGTGCTACAACACAGAAAGGCATCCAGGACCAGAAATCAGGGCAGGAGAATTCTCTTAAATGACAGTCTTTAGGCCCTGCCTGGCCTTGAGTTAGAGGACACAACTCTGGTGCTCTTTTGGCTGTCTCTGGAGGGCCACTTGATCATGCCCCCCTGGAACCTGTGTCTCCCCCTGCCTCATGTTCTAGGTACACAGAGAAATTCAAGATTTCTGCCTTGGGCATTGCTTACTGGCTTTTAGGAGATCATGCTTGTCAAGGGAGGAGGGTGGGCTACATTCCACAGTGTAGTAGCTCCACTGGGCCATTTGTATGGCTCGCTCTACAGTGTGGGAACCTCTTCCAGCCCTCCAGCTCTGCCTCAGCTCTAGTACAAGTGGGACTTGCAGACATATTTTCTAGTTTTGGGTCAGCCATGAGTTGTGTGATTTTGGACAAATCGGTTTCCTTTCTGGGCCTTGGAATCCTCATAGGTCAAAATAGGATCAGTGTGAGGTGGAACAGACTGAACACTAAGTGCCTTGGAAGACAAACATCCTTGAGAAAGGTGAAATCTTTAAAAGGTCTCTCCCATAGGACCTGTGAATTTTAAAGGAGGTTGTACCAGTCTAGTTCTGTACAGTTTGTGAATTCATCTTTTCCAAGTTAGAGTGGGATTCAGTATCTTAAAATCTCTTCATTCAAATGAATTAATCTTGAGGTCCTACATTTGCACACAATTGTAGAGTGTTTCATTAGTTAGTATAATCTAGCTAATTGTGTCTTCTTGGAGTTAGAAAGCAAGTTTGTGAAATTAACTGGGATGTAGACATTTAAGTGCTTTAAAGTAATCCACACAAACAGAACTAAGCGCTATAATCTGGGTTACAGATTGCCACAATAAAATATTGCTAGAAAAGTTGAGAGTTGTAACTAGAATTCATTGTCTCAACTGTCAACCTTTCTCTAACCAATACTTTATCAGCCTGTAAGTCCTCCTCATTTAAGCCCAGTGTGGGGTGAATGCTGAGACAAACTACTTCAGGAGTTGTCCTATTTCCCTTCCCGGGCTGGTGCCCCTCTTGTATGTCACCATTCTCTTTGCCTTTCATGAATAATGAACTGGCATGTTTGACCATCAGACAGATGCTAACCAGAATTGGCCCACAATAATCCTGTGGTTTACTTTGTTTCAACTTTGTAGGTAGGCAGCATGAATATCTTAGCAAGCCTAGGGTCTCTGTAATATGTCTGGTGCCAAAAGTTGTCCCTCCTGGGCTGATGAGATCGCCTGACAAATTTGCTGTCATCCATCACAGCATGGAAAAGCAGCCTTGGTTTATTCTCCCTGATAGTTCATAGACAAGAAGGTCATGGAAACACAGCACGGCCTGAAAGCCCAATCGCTGCTCCTTATTCTCATGTTCCCAGGAACTCAGGTTCAGCAATCCTGCGCAGCAACATGCAAGCTACAAACAGAATTGACAATAATTTAGTAGCCACAGCAAAAAGGTGAGAGAAGGATGGGGCCGATTTTAATACGATATACTTTAACTCTGACATGCAAACTGTCATCATTAACATTTATAGTCGATATAAAATTATTAATGAGATAGTTACACTAAGTCCTTCAAATCCAGTGTTGATTTTCCACGCTTAGCACATTCCATTCGGACTAGCAACATTTGAAGTGTTCTGTAGGTCCAAATGACTGCTGGTTGTTGGACTGAATGGCGGAAGTCTAGAGGTGGGAAGTAGGGGAAAGCCTTCCTCAACTGCATGCACTGCCTGTGTGTGCACCCTGTTTATCTTTGCAGTAATATGAATAACCATTCCATCCTGTATGCCTACTTATGTAATTAATTAGCATTTATATCGCAGTTTATGTTTGCAGAGTGCTTTATTGATGTAGTTACCAGCATATTTATCTACTCACATGTTTATACTTTCATGTGCACCTACCTGTGCTAATTAGAGCTATAATTATTGAAGTTATTTAAGAACACAACTCATAGTTATCTTCAAGAGCACCAACAACTATTTTAATAGCAACAGTAAATTCTATCTTCCCTCTTGTCTACTTCACAAAGAGATTTTATACCTTCACCCAATATTCTCTGAGTTCTTGCTCCGCCTCACAGTGAAAGATGCATTTAAACTCAATCTAATAATTACCTTTTCTCCTCTGTGAGCTTAAATTTCCTATGGATAAGATAGAAACTTCCTGGCATATCTTCCAATAACAACCGCTTCAACATACACAGCATTTCAACATGAAAATTCTAATTAAAAATGACTACAACCAATGAAATAATGCTACTTCTGCATTTGAATGACATTTTCTATTCCTTATCCCAAACTTATTCCTAAGGCATTTTAGGGTCTATGAGTAGAAGGGGTAAGAGTGTAGGTGGAAGCCAGAGCCCTATGCTCTGGTCACCTAGTCACTTGTCCATCTTGGTCTACGGACCAGGTTTTTCTACAGACAGAAGCAGTAGGGTTGTCAAACAGGCTGTAAAGGGAGGTATTATGGACAAGAAACACCCCCTTGGGGTGTGGTGAGGAGGTTTCACCTTAACCTCTTCCCTGTCCATTTCCACTTTTGCTCCCCCGAAATCAGTGAGGAGAAAAATCACAGCACTGCAATTCATTCTGCAGGTCTGCTGCTTTCAGAGATTGGAAATGCTAGCAAGAGGAATGATATACATCGTGTGATAAAAGAAGAGTACAGAAATATCCACCAACAGCTATTAAACGCAGCTGTCTCATGGCAAAACTGAAGGGCTCCACTGGTGAGTAGAACGCAGTGACACCACCCAAGAGACTGGGAACCAACTCCCGCTCCGAAGCAATTTTGTGAGTTCAATATTGGGGATTAGAGTTGAACATGAGAGATCTTATGCTGCAAATCACTGCATACCCAGCGTTTTTGTTACCTACTTCACAGTCCCCTGGGGAAAATCATTAAGCCTCTTTCTGTCTCTCTTTAAAATGGGAGCTAAATTAGTAACTTACCACAAAGGAGTGTTTTCTTAATTACTTGCGTACAAATTGCTTGACATTATTGAATGAAAGGTATCAAGGAGAAAGCAAGCTATTACCATGATTATTTTTGTTCTAATACAAAGCAGCAAGCCAGAGCCCTTTCTATCTCTGCATTAGGTTTCAGCTCAGTGATACTTTAGGGACTGGTTTCCTAAGGCTCCCACCAACATTTAGTATAGCAGCTTGTCAAAGGCAAATCGGGACAGACCAGCATTCTGGGGTGAGGTTTGAAAGGTATGAGGTGCAGTTGCAAGGAAAGAACACTCTAAAAGTGAGAATTAGGGGATGGGTGGTGTTCTTATCCTGGTCCATCACTCTTGTCACTGGCAGCTTCCTCCTGCCCTGTGAGCTGGTCTCCCAAACTCGATTGTGAAGGCTACTGTTGTGGAGATTGGTTTTGCCAGCATCATTCTAACACTTATTTTTACTAGAGCATGAGGCCCAGTCACAATCATAAATTAACATGGAATGGCAAAATGTAATATTGCTAGAAAAGATGAGAGGCAAGCTTTCTTTTATGTAACGTGTCACTAAGGGCATGCAGCAGAGAGGATAAGAGAGGGAACTTTCTAGACTAACACAAAAAACTGAGGTTTCTTTGAAATCTGACCAGGGCCAGAGCAACACATGAGCTCTGTCCTCCTCTTCTAATCACTGAACATAACTCATTTTGAAGGGTGATGGTTCTGCCCAGTAGGAGTCCACAAGTCAAGCCAGGGAATTTGAACTAACACTGATTGACCCTGATTTGCTATTGCATCACTGAATCGTGATGTGATTATGTCTTCATTAGGAGTGTGGGGTTAAGAGAACAAGACACAATATGGTAATTATGCTAGAAAATTGGGTGGCATTAGAATCAGGCCTTGGAATGCTTTCTATGGAATTCTTCTGATCAAGACAATTACTCTGCTGGAGATAGTCCTGCAGGATGCTTCTGAATAATTAGACAAGCTCCATAGTCCAATGAAATAGCAAGGGAGAGGAATTCTCTTAGCCCCCGAATCTCTCTTCCATCCGTGGTATTGTTTATTCACTTTTCTAAAAAATCTTCCTTTGAGTTCCAGTACATTATTTTTGCTATGACTGTCTTAATGATAGTGGCAGGAGATTGTTTAAACCTCATTTTGCTGCTGACTATGTAGAAAAACTGTTTCTCCTCCCATATGTAATTTTCTGTCCATTCATTAATTGTACCACTGTTCTTCTAAGTTTATTTACTGCTTCTAAATATGTAACTTAATTTATGCCTCTAGTCCCATGGGGAGCCTGTAAAATGTAAAAATCTTATATAATAGCAGAAGCAGCCACAAATATTTTAATATCCAGAGCTGCTTCTGAATCCTAATTTTGCAGATGGCATGATGTTCATTTTATAGCAGCTATTGAAAACTAATAAATGCCATCCACATCACTCAGCATTGTCAATAATCCACCAGATTGCGTGTCAAGGGATGCTGAAGGAAGAGGATCAGCTCCCACCCCTACTCTAACCGCCTCCAGCTGCAGACCCTGTAGCTGACCTGCTTTATCAGCTGCCACCTTCTACACCAGTCAGCAATCAGGAGAAGCTTTTTGAACCTCTAATCTGCCAATGGAGAGACACTTGCAAGAGGGTAATTGCTGCACATAGCATGCAGGGTTGGGGGATGAGCTCTGTCCTCCTCTGCTTATTGTATTTACACTTTGCAAATGCAACAGGTGAGCAGTGGAGGAAGAGCAATGAGGTAACAGCCAGGCCACTACCAGGTCTGGTCTGGTCTGGTCTGGAAGTCAGTGGAAAAGTTAATTACTCCCTATTCTATGCTTTCTTTTTGATAAATTCTGTCTTAAAGTAAAACAAAAGTTCATATAGTGAGAGACTAGAAAGGGGGACAGCAACATTGCTGAATAAAATATCTGACACTCAAGTTTAAGAAGAAAGGTTTATTTGGCTCACATTTCACAGTGACTTCAGTCCATCATGGGCTGGCTCCAAGGTAGGCATGGCAGGGAAACATCAGAGGGTAGAAACAGTCCAAAACAAAACAGGGTAGGCAGGGCAACAAGCAGGCAGCAGGTGGCCAGCAATAGCAGCCCTGTCTCTATCCCTTATATTTTATCTGAGATACCCACCCTTAGGGCCTGTAGCACTCACATCCAGGTGGGGCACCCTTAATCGCTGCAGTGCACCATCAACCAATCCAAGCAACATGTCTTTGATCCCAGCATCACACACCCTAGATCCCGCCACCTCTGAAAAAGTGCCATCTATGACCAAGTGAGGTTTGGGGGGACTTCTAGATACAAGCTGTAACAGCAAGTTTATCATTCATCTACTATTTGTCCTGCCAGATTGTTAATATATTCTTAGTCTGTTCCAGGGACTGAGAAAGATTATGCTTAATCTATAAGTACATGTATACATATGTCTAGTTTATATGTATCAACTTAATTTCAAGTAAGGTAATATTTCTCAAGTGATTCCTGCCTTAAGGAATTTTCAGATTAGAAAGGGCTATTACCATAGTAGTAAGTCACAGCAGGAAGTAGTAAATGCTCTGAGTGAGTATCAAAGCTTTCTTTTCCCTAAAGGAAAATGTATAACACTTCCAACCCCCAGAGGGTGGGAAGAGAGTCAGAATCCAGAGAGATCTTAAGAGGGAGACATGACTGGGACCAGATACTACGAGTAGAAGGTGATCGGTGGGCCTCTACAGTCCTAAAAAGTAAGTTAATGTCAACTGAAGTGAGGTCAGCTTCTCTTTCTTTTTCTCTGTTCCCCTGGGAGGTGACTGTCTTTGTTGTATCCTTGAGCTGAATTTCACCTGGATGCAAATTCAAAGGAGCAAGAGTGTAATGTGCTTTTAGGCCATCCCAGGAGATGTGTGCTGAAGGCTGCGCAGAGCCGTGCAGCAAGTGGGCTTGATGACAGGCCTGAGTGAAGAGAACTCAGAGAATGTCTGATCCCAGAGCAGCGTGGATGCAGAGGAACAAGTGAATGTTCAATCCAGTTTTGTCTTCAGATTCCCAGGCATCATAGGGAGGGGAAGCCCAGATGCAGCAGCTCTTTGTCATGTAGGACATCTCTGAATCCTGCTCAGATTCAGAGATTATTGAATCTTTTAAAGATGAAAGTTGGACCTGTTAATCATAATTTTTCTACCTTATGCCCAGAAGCAAATGCAAGCTGGTCTTTGACAAAATTCCATCTTGTTGTGAAGGCTGCTTGCTTGCCTTTCTTTCTTTCTTTCTTTCCTCCATCCCCTCTTCCTTCCCTCCCCTTCTCTCTTTTTCATCTTCCCAGCCTCTCTGCCTTCTTTTCTTTCTTTTAGTTTTGTGCAAAAATATGTGGAATAAATCAGTAAAAGAAAAAAAGACAGAAAGAAAGAAAGAAAAGAAAAGAAAATGCAGATGCAGATGAGGAGCAGGGTGTGGGGAAAAGAAACACACACCAAATCTGACAGAAGAGAAGTTGTCTTTTACATTGTCACTGCCATAACTTTCATCCCAGACAGCCTGCCGGCATTTGTTATCATTTAATTTCTCAGTGATAGTGATTCTTTCTGGAGTGAAATGGAATCTCAGTGCTATTATAATTTGTATTTCTTGAATGACCAGTGATATTGGACATTTTCTTATATATTTACTTGCCATTTGTATTTCTTCATCTAAGAGGTATATATTCATTTGAGATACCCATTCTTGGATTAGGTCTTTGAATTTTGGGGCCTGATTTTTTTCAGTTCTTTATATGTTCTAGGTATAAGTTCTTTGTCTGAGGGACAGATGGCTAAAATTTTTCCCATCTGTAAGTTTTCATTTCACTCTGTTGGTCATTTATTTTGATTTATAAAAATGTTTTAATGAGATCCTAGTTATTAATTTTGTGAAATACTTCTTATGCAGTTTGCTTTTTTTTAAATGAACTCTTTGCCTACCTCTGTGTCTTCAAGATTTTTACTTACCTTGTTTTCCAATAGATTTAATATTTCTGCTAATATTTAGATCTGTGTTCCATTTTGACTTTAGTGCATGGTGATAGACATGGGTCTATTTTTGTCTTTAGTATATGGAAAGTCAATTTTTCCAGCACCATTTATTAAAGAGGCTATCTTTCTTCTAGTGAACTTGTTTGGTCCCTTTGTTAAGATCAAGTGGCTGAGTGTCTTTGTAGTTGTGTCCACACCTTCTAATCTGTTTCAGTGGGCTAATTTAATAGGCCTTTGTCCCAGTATCACACACTTAACCCCAGCATCACACACTTTAGATCCAGCCTCCTCTGCAAATGCCCATCTATGACCACATGAGGCTTTGGTGGAGACATCTAGATTCAAGCCATACCACCAGGACTGATAGAAACAAGTGATGTACAAAGAACTCACTTAAGTATTCAGTACTACATTTGTGAAACAGAAAGATGATGCCCTTCTTGGTACATGCCCAGGAACAGCCTCTAACAATGTAGGTATCTTGCATCCATGGTCTTATGGATTTGGCAAGAAAAAGTCTGAGCAAGAATTTCATTCATAGGCTGGGGATATAGCTCAGGAGCACAGTTCTTGCCTGGCAAAGTGCGAGGTTGTGAGTTGGATCTGCAGGAGCAAGAGAAAAAAAAAAAAGTGTGTCAAGAATTTCATTTATGTGGTGCCCATGGATAAATATATATTCTGACATACATAGCTGAATCAAAAGTTGGGGGGGGGGCGTTGCTGGGTAACTGGGTTCTCTTTAGCACTGATTGGCCCCAGGTCTGTTCACTGTATCATAATATATGTTTGTAAATGTATAATATAGAGTTTATAGGTATATAACATAGTTAGGTTAAATATACAGAGTATATGTAATATCACTGTGTGTATTTTATTTCATATATATTTGAGTTAACCCAAGTTGAATGTGTATATGATCCTACTTGGCTATATTTTCACACTTTTTAATGGAGTTACAGTGAAGGGTAGGACTAATACATGTGGGACCACACTAATAGAAACAACACTAATAGAAAAACTCCAACACTAATAGAAAAACTTCCAGAGTAGCACAGGGCCTACATGTGCATTCATAAAATACTAACCGTTTTTCCTCTTCTTCTTCAGGAGCTGAGAATGTGGACTGTTATCCTCTGTGAGCAGTATTTAAGTGATAAGACTCCTTGTTCTAGAAGACTTGCAGGAGGAAGGGTAGGGCATCTTGGTTTCCTGCCAAAGAGGGATCCAGAATTGGCTTCATCTTACAGGGGACCAGTGACTAGAACGAGAAACTGTCAAAACTAGGAAAAGGCCCCAGGCTGTCCTTGGTGTGGGTGTCTCCACTGCAGTAGGCAGGAGTAGAAGGGGAGAAGCCAGGAGTTCAGAGCACTTCAGGCACCCAGAGACCCTTGGGAATTCCCTGTCATCTCATGTTCTGCAAATGGAGGCCTCACTGGAGGCCAGAGCCTGGATGCCAAGCCAGGGAGGAGAATGTTCATTTCCAGTTCTCCTAGGAGAGCTGGGGCACAGAGGGGAGCAGCTGAGACATCAGCAGTCCAGAAGTGATCCTGAAGCACATACTGGACAACTACAGAGCTGAGATGCTTATTGTTTGCACTATTATTTGTGGAGGGAGCTAGAGCAGTGGGCTCGCTAGTACACGTGGTCTATCTGCTCTACAAGAATACACTAGAAAGCAATGATAGCTATGCTCCAGAGTGAGAAAGACAAGAGTTGAGGAGAAGCACTCACATGTGTCTGGAGGCTGAGTTGTACACTCAGATCTTATTCAGACCAAACCAACAGGGTGGGAACAACCCACTGGGTTTTTTTTTTTTTTCCTTTTTTACGTAAATTTTACTGTACTTAGAATAATCATCCTAGGTAAGTGAAGAGTTGATAAATGAACTCAATCTGCAGGGTCTTGTAAGAGCAGAGCTGTGCATAATTACACGATTGCCCTGGGGGCTGTGCTTTATTCTACTGAGTAGAAAAGGCAATGCCCTGTGAAACGGGAAGCCAGGGCTCTTGTGGCTTAGCAAAAGGAAAAAATATCATCCCACCCTTGGCTTCCTTTCCTTTGTCATGGAGCTGCCAGAGAAACTCCCAAAAGAGAAGCACAGTATTCTCCACTCCAATTGAATGAGTCTAGCCATTACCCTTTGAGACGCGGTAGGACGTTTTTCTATGCATGCATATACTGCAGCTGTAAAAGGGCTATTGATTCAGTTTAGATGCAACGTAAGACGATTCAGAATCCAGGGAAAAGACAGAAAATCACAATGAAAAGGAGTGAATATAAGTGAAGATAAATGAAATCAAAATCCCAAAGATGGGAGGAAGCAGTCAAAGAAAGAATTTTATATCATCCACCATCATTAGCTGTACATTTCCCCCTTCCTGTGCTGTGTTCTTGCATGACATAAATTATTTTCTCAGTTCTACCTTTCTTTGTCCTTCATTATTCACTAGGCTTTCTCTTTTGGTCTGTAGATTTCTCGGAGACCACCCTCCCAATGGAGGTGAGTGGAAAGCGCTGGGATGCAGCCAATTTCACACTGAAAGCCCAGTCCCAGGGCTTCAGATGCAAAGCTTTTGGGGGAACTGTGAGATTAAAGGTGTGAAAAAACATTATAGAGGTTCTCATATAAATGAGGTTCTTCATTTAATTCTGGAGCTTTCTTTTTTTTTTTAATTTTTAATTAATTTATTTATTTATTGGTCTTTTTCCTTTTTATCGGTACCGGGGATCGAACTCACGACTGCCTGCTTACAAGGCAGGTGCTTATGCCGCTGAGCTATGGCATGTACTCCTCATGCCCCTTCTCTCCCATTTTAACATAAGCTTGATCATTTTCTGTTAAATTGGATATTATACTTTGCTCAAAAGGTTATGAAATATTTTTGATACAATTTTATATATTACAAAGTGATCAGGTCTACTACTTTAATACTCTTTGGGAACTGGGTAGTCCAAGAAAGCAATTGCTTGGTCATATTCCTAGTCATTTAGAAGGTCCTGTTTAAATTTGTTTCATAACAACTAAGGCTCACTGTGGGGCCATTTGTGCTTGGTTTTCTCTGTGAGTGCATAGTAAACATGTGTCTCCTTAAATTTATTTTTTCCTTTTTCTTTTAGTAACAAACTCTTCTGGAATTTTAGTAGTGCACATAGTTGTTTATAAGTTTACATTTTATGATTTATGTAGCTAGATTTTAGCCAATGGGCATGAAAACAAATTCCTTATCTTTTTAGTTTATGGCTGAGGCTGAGATACAAATGTGAAGGCAGTATCCAGGGCAGCCTCTTTGGGCTGAAAGACTAACCATCAGATAAAAGTTGCTGAACTTCAAAAAAAAAAAAGAGTGTTGTTAGTGGAGAGTTTCAGTCAGGAGTCAGAATACCTTAAAGGTCTTAGTCTCTTTGTTCACTAACAAAAGATATGAATTTCTTGTCTTTTAGTGTCCCCAAATGCTGAATGAAGGCAATAGTGTCACAGGAAGTTAGAAATATTATAGGCAGTCAGACAAGGCTGAGTCCTCAAAGGAGCAAATGCAGAAGACCAGATACTTTGCAGCTGTGGGGGGAAACAGACATCTCCGATGTGTTTCAGACCTCAAGACAAAAGATAAAGCAAATGCATCCACATACTTGCCAAGGATAAGCATCAGGTTTACTGTTCTAAATAGATTTGTATCACCATGAGGAAGCCAGCAGTTACTAACCCAACCCCTCCCTGAGCAGCCCCTGCTCTGTATGCATGCCTGCTTGCTATGTGACTCACTTCCCCACTTGTCTCCTATTTAATCAATGATAAAATTGATTAAATTAGGAAATTAATCTTATTTGTTGGCCATAGTTCTGTCCCACCTCATGCCCACCTTTTGAATTCCTTGGTTTTCCCTACCTTGGACTGCTTCATCTTGGGGTTTTGCTCTATAAAAGTCCCTAAAAATGACAAGGTCCCTGGCAAAACCACTTGAGACCTCTTCTGTCTCTCATACAGAAGCTTTCTCTCTCTCAATAAATATGCTCTGCTGTTAACTTCTGTTGTTCCTAAAATTCATTCTTTGATTTTAGAGAACACTAATTTGTACCAGATATCCAATAAATTTGCAGTTTCTTTCCCCTATTATCAATATGATATGTCATCACTATTTCATCTGGCTATTATAGGGACTCAGTGATGGTAAGAGGTATTTCAGAACAATGAGTCATAATAAAATTTTAGTAGGGCATGACTAATAATTATAAGCAAAACAAATATTGTCATATTGAGTAAAAGTAGATAGTTTGATGCTATGAGATCCTATGAGGATCTCATAGGAGAAGTTTCTCAGGTCAATATTCTAAGATTTTGCCCCTTCAAGAGCATTACTATTAGCAAGAGAAATCATTTCTTTCCCTACCTTTACTTAGATGTGTCTTATTTTCTCCAAAATGGCTGTTCCTACCATCCAACCTTCTCTGCCTCATTTCTGTTGAGCTCTTTTTCTGTCATTAGTTGTCAGTTTGTCCTCTTCCTTTCGCTTTCTGCTCCATTCATTGTGGCCGCTCTGCCACTGTTTCTGAAGTCTTGGTATTTTTCATTTTTAGAATATCCTGCATTAATCTCTGTAGAGTTGAATTGGTGGTTGCAAATTCCCCTAGTTCCTCTTTATCCTGGAAACACCTTGTTTTTCCATCAATTTCTAGGGACAGTTATGCAGGATATATCAATCTTGGCTGGAGGTTATCATCTTTCAAAGCTTGAATTATTTCTCCCCACGCTCTTCGTGATTTGATGGTTTGTGCTGAGAAGTCTGCTGTAATTCTGATGGGTGTTCCCTTGTAAGTGATCTGTTTTTTGTCTTTGATGGCTTTTAATATTCTGTTCTTATATTGAATTTCTGGAATTTTGATTATTATATGCCTGGGTGTAGCTCTGTTTGGGTTGTAGGTGGCTGGGGTCCTGTATGCCTCATACATCTGAGTATCTTTATCTTTTGCTAAATTAGGGAAATTCTCTTGGATTATTTCTGTGAATGGCTTTTGTAGTCCATTTGTTTGTGTCCCTACTTCTTCTTTTATGTTCTTAATTCTTTTTTTTTTTTTTTTTTTTGTCTTTTTCATTTTTATCGGTACCGGGGATCAAACTCACAACCACCTGCTTGCAAGGCAGGTGCTTACGCCGCTGAGCTAAATCCTCAGCCCCTATGTTCTTAATTCTTAAGTTACAGATCCTCTTATAATCTTCTAGCCTTTGTATTATTGTTTGTTTTCTTGTTATTTTTAAGAAGTTTTTCATTTCATGCTCCCATATTACAAATCTGTCCTCCAATTCAGGTAATCTATCCTTAGTTTCTTTCAAGCTGTTATGCCAGCTTTTGATAGAGTTTTTAGTTTCCTGGTAATCTCTTTGAACCTGCTTCACGTATTCTATGTTTTCTCTATTTTCTCCATCAAACAATTCTCCCCTTTTTTTCTGTTCTTCCATTCCATCATCTGTTTTTTCTTGGGTGGTACTTAACATTTCTCTAACTATTCTACTTATATCTTGCTTTACTTCATTAAATACTTCATTTTTAAACTGTCTATGAGGCTCTGGAGATATCGCTTTATGTTTATTGGTGCTGTGTCTGATATTGCATGTTTTCTGTCTTCCTTTGCGTTTCCCTTTCCTGGATCAGTGTTCTCAGCACTGAGGACTAAGGACCCTTCCTTTTTGTTTTCTCTTCCCATACTTTTTATTCCTTCCATATAAGTGAATGTAGGAGGCCCAATTTTTTTCTCTTTTTCGGTTACAGTTTGTTTGAATTGCGCTGGCTAGGTGTTCCCGCCCACTGCAGTGTACTAGGGAGACACAGACCTGGGCAGCCTCTGCTGGGCCTGCCCCTCCAGGTCAACCTACGGAAGGCTTCACCGCTAGGGTGCACCTCCAGGCGCTGGGACCTGGTTTGGGCTAGCCTACTGGGTCTTAGTCAGTGGCGTCATGCAGGCCAAGCACTCCCCACCAATGCCGCTTGAGAGGGGAATATGCGACTAATGTCACTGCAGCGCCCTGTTCCAGCAAGTCTTCCTGGTCCCAGTATGTCCTTTGCTGGAGCCTCCTACTCTATGAAAGGGTCCCCGTTCCACTCACTCATCGCAAGTCGATGTAGGGCTCCCTGCTAGTCCCACTCTCAACTCCGTTCGCAGATTCCTGCTCTCAGAGCTTTCGCACGTGTCTCTCCTTGCCCTGCAGATTTGGATGCAGCAGCGGCAATAGGAAATTCTAACTGCGGCTTCCAGTGGTGCAGGTTCTAGCTTCCACGCTGAGATTTTATCTATTCCTGTTATAGCACCAGGATTGGATTTCCAGTTGGTTTCTCTCAGCTTAGTTCATTCCTGGGTTGGCAGGGTGTATCTCCCCTTGCTTAGGACTCCTCGTACCACACCATTCCTGGATTTTAAGCGGGGTATCTCAGAGAGCCTCCATAGCTGTTGCTATCTATCCACCATATTCTTCAGGAAGTACGTAACTCATTTTTATGAACAACCATATGCACCACTAAAATTCAAGAAGAGTCTGTTACTAAAAGAAGAAGGAAAGAACAAATTTAAGGAGACTACTATACATTAAGAGTCTACTATACATCTACGAGAATGCAAGCACAAATGACCCCGTAGTGAGCCTTAAAAGCAGTTTTTTCTGGTGTTGAAACAGGACCTTCTAAATGACTTTAGGAATATGACTAAGCAATTGCTTTCTTGGACTACCCAGTTCCCACAGAGTTTTAAAATAGTAGATCTGATTACAATTGTGTAATATTTGGAAATAGTCAAATTGATGATCTGTAAGTTTCTTGTATTTTTCATTATTTCACACAATATATTAAATCAAAATGATTAAATAGAAAAAGAAATGAACCCAATTGGTATGGTCCACTCAAGTCTGTTGAGATTAGAGTCAGGTGGATTAACTTATTTGGAGAGGAACCTGCTTGCTAATGGGAGCAGCTGAGATTTTCTTCATGGTATCTTTATAAAAAGATGATGAAATGACAAGCTAAAATGTCTAAATCTGGTCCCATTGGTGCAGAGGTTTTGAGGTTGACCTATTTTAACGTCTCCATCAAACTACTCTGAAAAACCCAATGAGAAAATAGCCAATCTATTTGTAGTGATCATCAATTTCTTTTCAGATCCTTGTTTTCTTTTCAGAACACTCCTCAGTGAGAACTCTGTTTCAGAACCAATCTAATGGCTATGTGCTGCGGTTCTGATACATTTCGATTGGTCCACCTCATGAGCCTTGCACAGCTACTCTCTGAAAAGGAGCGTCTCACTTTCTGATTATGTGATGCGACCCATTTTCCTTTCAAAAGCCCATGTGCTCTACAGTTTATGGAAACTGTCATTAGAAGAGGCAGTACCAGCTTAACCTGCCAGTTTGTCCCAATAAAATCAAGTCTGATTCTCTGT